ATATTTTGACATTTAAATTAGCCAATATAAATAGGGTTTAATGTGTATCATTTGTACACTTACATAATACTTTAATGTCATTGGCTTAAAACTAAAAAAGACGGCTAAACTAAAAAAAAAAAAAGATTTAATTCCAATTTGTGTTGGGAACGATACGGTAACACGTCTTTTTAAAAAAACCTAATCAATTTTCGGCCATCTATGAAACGACGTCGTTGCTTGTGGGCGGGAATTTTTTTCCCCTACTTCATTTTGCTTTAATATAGATAGAGATAGAGAAGAGATATGCCGATTGGGTTTAGCCTTTAAATAGGCAGATACATAACATTTTAAAGGGAATACAAATAATTCATATCAAGAGTCCCCTAATATTAAATTTAAATTAAATGTGCTTTAATTTTCCCGATGTGACTTCAAACATGATTTTAATGACTTGATTTCAACCCCATTTGCCTTCTTCCTTATGCAGCCACGAATTTTGGACCTCTAAAATGACTTTTTCCACTAATTTTAGTTCAACGTCTTATTCCAATTCATGCACAACCAGCCTGGTGCATTTCTTCACCAAATTTGCACATATCTTAATTTAATGAGTTTCTTGGTATTGCATGACACATTTATTGACTATTTTCGTTTTTATTTAAAATGCACTTTCCTCTGCCCTCAACATTAAGACTTTGGCAAATTCAACAAATACTCAACACCAAGACAAGTGTACCCGAACAAAATTTTACTTCCATCATATGTCATGATGTTATTAATTGTAAGTGTAAAAAAATGTTACACAGAAAATTCTGTTTTGGTTGGCATTATTAGTTGTCAAAATTCTAGTTATTAGGCTCTAGATCAGCGCCAGGATGCAGTCCAAGAAAGGTGGGACTTATTGAAACATTTATTTTGGTCAAGACCCTACTTCCAAGGTATTTTAAATCAGATGATGCAACTTAATTTGAGGAGTTGGAGGTTGCACATTTTCAGACCAAGAAGTTATCAATTTATTCCTATAAATTTCTACTTTGGGATCATTATTAACTTGAAGATTCAAGGATTAAAATTCTACATATCATTCCTCAAATCCTCCACTAGTTTTTCTACCAATATATTCGGGTGTTGAAAGTTTCTCAACTAGTTCAAGTTGTGATGAAGATAGCCTGCATGTCAAGTCCATGGTGATGCTGGAGTAGGCATTTGGAGTAGTGCGCTGGAGTAGTGTAGTTTATGCTTTAGTGTGTAATGTACTCCCCCTTGTACTCCTTGTTGAGCATCTAATGAATTGGCTTGACGTGAGTGGCCCCGTAGAGTTAGGAGTGAAGCTCCAAACTGCGTGAACATTTCCTGGTGCAAGGTTCCATTTATTGCTTTTATAATTAATTTCTTTATTTTGTCTGGAGTAGATCCTAGAGCTAGTCCAGCTTAATAATTGAATTAAAATTTAGTAGGAACCTTTAGGTTATCTCTTGCATTCAAGATCCACGAGTTTTTTCAATTGGTATCAGAGCCAGGAGACTTAAAATATTAGTCTAACCGATCTGTCTTACTCGTGTTTCTTGAACTCAAGATCTCGGTTTTTGTTCTTGCTTTTACTTTTCTGGTCAATCTTCTTTGGCTTATTGTGCATTGAGTTTTCCATAATGGAACGACATAGAGCACCTCCTGATTAACAGGTGACAACTATGCGTACTAGAAGGCTCGTACCAAAATGCACATACGAGCTCATGGGGAGATGATCTGGAGGGCGGTTATCACTGGGTGGACACGTCTTACCAAAGATGGAGCCACTTCAGGAGCCCCTCTAGTTCTCAAACCAGAAACAGAATGGACAAATGCTGAGATGACTACTGCGAACTACAACAATAAAGCCTTAGATAATATTTATTCCTTAATGCATGAGAGTCAGTTTACCCTTATTACTGGTTGTGACTCCTCCAAAGACGCAGGAGAGATTTTGGAAACTACCCATGAAGGAACTAACTCAGTCAAGCAGTCCAAACTCCAAATTGTCCAATATGACTTTGAAGATCTAAAAATGACAGAAGACGAATCAATAGTTGTTTTTCATGCCCGTGTTCAGTAACTAGCAAATCGTGCAATCGTTCTAGGCGAACCATTCTCTCAACCTAAACTTGTCAAGAAGATCTTGCGCTCACTCCCTCCACGATTTAGAATGAAGGTCACGGCAATTCAAGAACATGACGGGTGGGAGAACAAAACAATAGCACAATTAATGAGAAACTTGCAAACCTATGAGATGAAAATACTTTCTGACCAACCCAGAAAGAAGAAGAACATTGCGTTTACAGTTGAAGAACATGAGTCTGTATCTAATCCAGAAGAGGTAAATGATGATCTAGTTGAATTTTTAACTAAACAATTTTTGAAGCTTTTGAAACAGGTGATCTACTCTCAAAATCGAAAGTTTCAAAACCAGAAGGGATCCACATCAAACGCATCACGTAACAACCAAAAAACTGGATCATCTAATATTTGTCAATCACGAAACAATCAGTCTAGGGAGAAATCAAGTGGAAAAGGCATTAGGTGTTATGAATGTGAAGGTTTCGGCCATGTTCGAGCAGAATGCGCAACATACCTAAGGCGTAAGAAGTTGATGAAGGCAGCTCTAACCTGGAGTGATGATGACGAACCTGAACCTAATCCCGATCCAGAAGTGATCTCCGGTAACCTTGTAGCATTCACTGCAATAGCCAACATGGAGTTTGACCCAGAAGCTGAAGTAGACTAAAAAGCTGTAGAATATCTGTCGGCTGAAGACCATGATTTACCAGTTCCCTCATTTGAAGTAGAATATAAAAAAGTTGTATGCAAAATGGAAATTATTGTAAAAGTAAATAGATCTCTGTCTCGTCAAATAAGTAATCTAGAGAATGCTAGGAAAGTGTATAAAAATCAAATTACTGACAGGGACAACATCAGCAAAGACAGGCTCACACGCGAAGAAGAACTCAAACAAGAGTTGGATATGCTCAAAAGGAGAATTAAAATGATGAACAACACTTCCACCCTCGACCAAATCTTGGATTTTGGAAGGACAACATCTACCAAGTATGGTTTAGGTTTTCTGGCAGAAAAGACAAGGCTGTGACAGTTTTTGTAAAGGCTTCAAACTCTGACTCAGCACTTGGACCAGATTCGGATACTCCAGAAACTAGTACAGCACGGGAAAGGTTTGGTAATGTAAGGCATGACAATCCAAAATTTAAATTCTATAACTCTATTTGTCATTATTGCAGTGTTCGTGGCCATACTAGACCTGAGTGTTTTTACTTTTATAAAGATCAAAGGCGTGAGAAGTACACGCACAAACACATTGCACGGTTTGTAAAACAAGTGTGGGTTAGGAAAGCAGATTTTATATTCCCAGTTAACTCCAATCGCATCTCAAGGGTAACTAGCAGAAGACAAAGGAATTGGATTAGAGAATCTGCAAATACAAGATTGAAGGGTCATCATCGAAATAAAATCAGGTATTTTATAATTCAATAAGTTATGTTTTTTTTTTTTTAAATTTTTTGCCCACTGTTTCAGATCCAGAAGAATTGCTGGCCTAGTCCAGAAAATATTAATCCTAATTCTCCGATTGCTGACTTGTAGAGTTCAAAAATATGGAATTATGGTACCATTTTCTACTCTCTCCTCTACTAGTGGTGGTATTTCATCAATACCAATTTTAATTCCTATCTTTTTTGACTTTCTCGTTGCCGATTGCACTGCGTAGTTCTATTTTGCCTGGACTATCTTGTTTTGTCTTCTTTGACTAGTTCTATGTGTTCATTAATGTCCTTCTATGGTTTGATCGATTTTGACTAGTTCTATTAGTAGTAGTCATCATAGCTATGGTGACAGTCATGATAACATGTGAAAGTTACAAATTTATGCATATTATGAAAACATTGTGGGCATTTCACATCTTTTGATATTTTATCCAAAATTAATAGATATTCAAGCATACAACAAGAATGTCGATCATGAGAATAAGCAAGCTTCTCATAACAATCTTAATTTGAAAGCTTGGCTAAAACCTTTGCTGCATATATTGTTCTTCCATTTTTGGTACGCATTCATCACTCTCATCATTTTGTCACCTAAATCACATGCTACTACTTCATCCCCTTTGCTTAACAACACCCATGCTCTAAATGTTGTGCTTTTAGCTTCGTAAGCTAGTAACTTTTGGAGTCCAAGAAAAATTTTGTCCTCATCTTCAATACGACCGGTCTTATTTAAATAATTAATTCTGGATAGGAATGCACTGCGAAGTCGTGTCCAAAACCACAAATATTCTGCATTATTATAACTAAGTGCATAACCACATGTGTTTTTCACAATGCACGTGACTTTGCTTTCTTGTTATTTCCAATGTATGCAAATTTAATATCCAGTTGGATTTCAAAATTAACCCCTTTCACTTTAGTTGCGAATTCTTGTATACATATTTAGGGTCATTCCCTCTAGTTGCGAATTCTTGTATACATATTTAGGGTCATTCCCTCTGCACAAAAAAAAAAAAATCATATTTCATTGCAGTCTGTTCAAAAACAGAAAAATAATAATAATAACAATAACAAACTATTGTAGGGTCATAAAATGCCCAGTACAAATTAAAACTTAAAGCATCAAAATGTTCTAATAATTTTTATTTTTTTTGTTAGGGTGAGGACAATATGTAATTTAAAATCAATTGTATACCCAATAATTATAGTGAGCTAAGCGCTTGAAAATGAACCTACCCAATTTGCTATCCACCTATCTATGTTATAGTTGTTCACAAATGGCCAGGACTGTCCTTTGTCATTACCCAAAAGTTTAAGATTCCATGTCTCTTTATCCCAAAGCATTTCTTCATTCCTACTAGTGTAATTATAGGAAAAATCCTGAACAATAAAAAAATAAATATTAATAATAAAAAAGATTACTTAGACTTCAAACAATATATACATGAAGTCATTCAATTAGCAAAAACATGAGTGGGAGAAACGTACCGAATATTGTATCCTCGTATTAATGGCAATTCTCCAAACATCAATTGTATTTCCAATGCGATTAACCAAGTCACATTTCCTCTCCTCAATATCATCAATGACAGAACCAACATCTAAAGTCATTTCCGACAACTCTTTTTGTAATAAAGAGATGATATGGTTTCCACTACCAACCGTCAGTGTATCAAATGCAAGATCTCCTCTCCACATTAGGATCATGTGTAATGCATTAGTATGAACTAGTCTTCCACGAGTGTCAAGTGAAATAGCAATAGGTTCCCCAGCACTATGGAAACTCGGAACGCATCTCTCCTTCACAAATCTAATGAATTGAAACGTAATCCTTTTGCATGGATCCCACAACATTAATCTACGACGTATTCTACTTAGTGATGGCGTCCTTGCTTCAGTCCAAAGTTGAGGATAATCTATTATTGGAATCAAAATAGGCCAAGGGCCGATTTCGAACTTGGACAAATGATGGTAAAGAAAAGCGGCCTCAGATAGATTTGTGTCTGACACTATTATCAATAGCAGCCTCTGGTCTTTTAATCCAATGAATGGAAACGGCACTACACAACGTGTCTGATATGTATAATTATAGATCGAGGTGAGGTTAACTTCATTATAAATTTCTGAAATATATTGTCTAACAGTATGCATGCTATAATAAATTTCGGAATCAACAAGTATTGTTATATGAGTGCAAGTTTATAAATATCTAAAATTATAATTTTGTTTGGTACCCCAGAATATTTTGTTCTAAAGTTTTTTTTTTTTTTTCTAATATTTATAACAACATTAATAATAAGTGCTAATATAAGATCGAGATTAGGGATTACAATGAGGTGGGGAGTATAAATATATAATCCCTAATTGAAGCATATGCTCCATCTCAACTAAAAGCCTATATGCTCACACGTCCCCACGTGTGTGGTGGGTTCCAAGTAACACGTGGACCGGTAAACCGTAGTCGCTTATGAGTGGCACTGAAATTCGAACCCATGACCTTTGGTCTGGCTCTGATACCAAATTGAAGCATGTGCTCCATCTCAACTAAAAGCCTTAGCTGGTAGTTGGATTACACGTTAATGGCTATATGCTCACATCCCTCTCTCTATCCCTGTGATCCTGACCCTATCCCTGGTGGGGAATTGGAAATATTTTCCATCCTCGTCCATGCGGGAAATTAGGTCTGGATAAGAATTTTTCGTCCTAATCAGCTCCTAGTCAAAGTATTAAATTAGTACAATTTTTAATTAAAAAAACATGTTTTAAATTCAAAAATTAAAATACGTAAGTTTATATATATATATATATATATATATATATATATATATATATATATATATAATTTTTAAATTATAATAATTATTTGAGGATGAGATGGGGCGGAGAGGAGTATCCCCTCCCCGAAAACTTTCCTCATCCCATTTTTGTAGGTGAGGGGAATGGGGATCCCCGTCAAAGACGGGACAAATTGCCATTTCTTTCACTACAAGAAAAATGCACATAGACAACGGTTAATAACCGTTGTCGTAGGGGTATAATTTCTGTTGTTGAAACCGGTGTTGTTGTAAGTCCCACGCATAGACAACGGTTTTTTAACCGTTGTCTTTTCTAGAAACAACAACGGTTTTTTAACCGTTGTCTATTAAGTGTTGTTGAAGCCGGTGTTGTTGTAAGTCACGCACATAGACAACGGTTAATAACCGTTGTCTTTTCTAGAAACAACAACGGTTTTTTAACTGTTGTCTATTAAGTGTTGTTGAAGCTGGTGTTGTTGTAAGTCATGCACATAGACAACGGTTAATAACCGTTGTCTTTTCTAGAAACGACAATGGTTTTTTAACTGTTGTCTATTAAGTGTTGTTGAAACCGGTGTTGTTAAAAGTCACGTACATAGACAACGGTTAATAACATGACAAACTGTATGCACGTGACATACAAACTGTAGCACATGACTACATTCGACCATGCACAAGACATACAGTCCCAAAATATTAGTTTAATTACCCGGGTCGCTACATCCGGTGAATTAAAATAGTACCGGGTATATAGGTACAGAACACGAGATTCATAGATTTCTATAATGTAGATCCATATTTCTATACAGTATATTTCTAATTTAAATACAATTGTATAGATTAATAATTTCTATACAGTAAATTCATAATTTCTATACTGCATATTCATAATTTCTGTATTGTTGATTCATATTTTCTAAACTGTATAGTTATCAACACTTGGGAATATGAACATCGCAAATTATAAACATAAAGTTCTGTAATTGTGAATATAGATAAGAGTTATTCAATCATTATGAATATGCATTTTAATTAAAAAATTATGAATATATAGTTTGGTAATTATGAACATAGAGCTAATTAAGATCGCGGCAAAAGAAATGGGATATAGCCAACTGTACGGCATCGATCAACTACTCTTTCATATCCATTCTCAACATGTCCCAGGTATACCGGAATGGTCAATTACCAACATATAGCTAACCTTGTTAGTCATGCGCTAGCCGGAAAGGTAGATTACCAACATAGCTAACCTTGTTAGTCATGCGCTAGCCGGAAGGATCAATTACCAACATATAGCTAACCTTGTCAGTCATGCGCTAGCCGGAAGGGTTAATGAATTTACTTTGAAATTTTGGTGAATAATTTTATATTTAAATATGAACGAAAATAGAACTATTAAATTAACTTTTGAATTGTATTCTTTCTTTGTTAAATTATAGGTAAAATGTAAGGTGTAACACTTTAATATATAAGAGTTGGTGTGACTTGGTGGATTTAGCTTTGTTTTTTATGTTAAAGGTTTTGGGTTCTATCCTTTGTGGTGGCATTCTTAAGACTAAAAGACATTTTTGGTCCTAAACTTATAGTGGCTTGGACAATTTTAGTCCTTTATAAAAAAATTTGCCATTTTATGGACAGAGTTATTGTGGCGAGGACATTTTTTGTCCTCCGTCTATATTTTTGTTAGATAACCGTCTGAGAGAGGGGTAATTACGTCAATTTAGGCTATCTCGTTCTATCTATTATATCTATGTGTGTTTTGTTTTCTTCTCGGTCATAATTCGAAGGAGTCGGAGAGTCCAAGTTGCAGTAAAGGCATGGTTGTGGGCAGAGCATTTCGTAGTGCAAAACTACAAATAAATGAGGGTCAGAGTAAAGGCATGGTTGTGGGACAAAAATCGTCCATCTCACAATAAAGAGATAGCCTAAATTGACGTAATTGTCCCTCTCTCATACGGTTATCTAACAGAAATATAGACGGAGGACCAAAAATGTCCTCGCCACAATAACTCTGTCCATAAAATGGCAAATTTTTTTATAAAGGACTAAAATTGTCCAAGCCACTATAAGTCTAGGACCAAAAATGTCTTTTACTCCATTCTTAATTTATTTTATACAATCATGGTCTTGGTTCTCAAAGGCAACACATAAGCAAACTGGTAATATACTAGATGTTGCGTTTGAATACACAAGTGTTGGTGTGGCTTGGTGGGTTTAGCTTAGTTTATTATGTTAGAAAGTCTTAGGTTCTATTCTTCCTGGGGGGGCAATCTTTAACTATTTTCTAAAATTGTTGTCTTGATTTTCACAAGCAACACAGAAGCAACAAAGTTATATACAAGATTTTGCACCTTTAGGAATAAGAGTTTGTGTTGCTTAGTTGGTTAAACCACTTACTTGTTAAGTTTGAGGTCATAGGTTCAACTCTTATTGATAATATCTTTGTTTTTATTTTATATACCTGTTAAATAATGATGCGCAAAGACAACGGTTTTTTGTAGTGTTGTGTATTCAAATACGCTTAAAGACAACATACCAAAGACAACGGCTAAATAAAACTGTTGTCTTAAACAAATAAAGAACGCGCAACGACAACAGTTATATAAAACCGTTGTCGTTTTAGTGTTGTGTATTCGAGTGCGCTTAACGACAACGGTTAAATAAAACCGTTGTCTTAAAAAAAAAAAGCGCACAAAGACAACGGTTTTAAACAACCGTTGTCTTTCTAGTGTTGTGTATTCTAGTGCGCTTAAAGACAACACACCAACGACAACAGTTAAAAAAACCGTTGTCTTCTTAAAAAAAAAACGCACATAGACAACGGTTTTAAAAACCGTTGTCGTTGTGGTGTTGTCTTTTCACAAAATGCACAAAGACAACACACTTATAACAACGGTTAAGTAAAAACCGTTGTCTTTGACAAAAGTGTTGCATCAAAGACAACGGTTTTGGACCAAACTGTTGTCTTTTATACAAAAGACAACACTTTTCTTAAAAACTGTTGTCTTTCTAGTGTTGTCTATGTGCATTTTTCTTGTAGTGTCAAGGTGAGAGGGTCTGGAGGGCTGTTCTTACTGGGTGGTCTCATCCTACCAAAGATGGAGGCACTGCAGAAGATCCTCCAGTCCTCAAACCAGAGGAGGAATTGAATGGACAGAAGCTGAAATGACTACCGCAGGATATAACAACATGGCATTAGACACTATCTTTTCAATAATGCACGAGAGTCAATTCTCAATTGTTGCAGGTTGTGACTCTGCTAAAGATGCATGGGAGGCATTAGAAACAACGTATGAGGGGACTAGTTCAGTAAAAGAGTCAAAATTACAAATGGTCCAATCAGACTTTGAAAACCTAAAAATGTAAGACGATGAATCAATTTTTGATTTTCATGCTCGGTTCAGGAATTAGCAAACTGTGCACTTGTCCTTGGTGAACCATTCTCACAACCTAAACTTGTTAAAAATATTCTACGGTCCCTACCCCCACGATTCAGGATGAAGGTCACAGCCATTCAAGAACATGATGGGTGGGAAAAGAAAACTGTACCTCAACTAATGGGAAGCTTGCAAACCTACGAGATAGAAATTCTAGATGGTCACGAAACTAAAGAGAAACCTATAGCCTTTACTGTTGAAGGCACAAAAGCTGGAACTGATCCAGAAGAGGTAAGTGATGATCCTGTAGAATTTCTAACTAAAGGTTTTTCCAAATTGTTGAAACAGGTAAAACAAAAGCAAAATACAAGAAGTGGCAAGTTCCAAAATCAGAAGGGTTCAGGATAGAATGTGTCACGAACCAACCAAAAGTCCAGTTCATCTAATCTCCGTCCACCTTCATCGCAAAATTCTCAGTCCAGGGAAAAGTCTTGTGGTAAAGGCATCCGGTGCTATGAATGTGAAGGTTTCGGCCATGTTCAAGCTGAATGTCCAACCTACCTAAGGCGCAAGAACTCGATGAAGGTATCTCTAACATGGAGTGATGATGATGAACCTGAACCTGATCCAGAAGAGATCTCCGGCAACATTGTGGCATTCACGGCAATTACTAACATGGATTCTGATCAAGAAGTTGAAGAAGACTTAGAAGTTGGAGAATATGTGCCGGCTGAAGACCATGATTTACTAGCTCCCTCGTTCGAGTTAGAGTACAAAAAATTGTATGCAAAATGGGAAATCCTTATAAAAGTTAATAGATCACTGCCTAGTCAAGTTAGCAATTTAGAAAATGCTAGGAAAGTGTATCAAAGTCAAATTGCTAACAGGGACAGCCTCTTCA